GCAATTTTAAAGTTTAAAACGTCAAGGTTGTTTTTTTCCTCAAATCTTCCTGAAATACTGAAGACAAAGCTTTGCTGATATATCCTCTTTTATTTAGCACTTTATACATTACACATTGTAGTATTAATAGAGGCCTGATTTAATACCATGAAGAGTAAAGTTAATCTGGTTAGTCTGCAGAGTAAGTTCTCTAGCAAAGGACTGCAAGTCAAAAAGTTTGTTACAAAATCAACACCTCAGGCCAAACAATCAGGAATTCCATGTTGCTTGTACTAAATCACATGACTGGAAATGGCTTTTGTGTTCAGATCCGATTTCTTCCCACCCTGTGGAAGAGGCTTACATTTTGCATAGGCATTGACACCCGCATTTCTCACTTTGTACTTATTCGCCCTCTGACATTTTTAAACTTGGTTTTCATAACACATAGAAGGAAACTTCTTAAGATACAGCTTTAAACTAAAGAAGCTTGGCTGTTCTTATCCTATTGTTGGGAAAAAAAACCAACAACTTCTTCAGCCTCCAATTTGCCAATCTTCAGGAAGATGGATATCAAACAGGAGAACTAACCAGAAGAACTACAGTTCAAATAATCAGGGAAGTGTGGAAAAAGCGCTCACTCAGAAGTTATTTATTCAGCTTAAAAGGTGTTTCTTCCCAAGGAACTGTACTTTCCTTTCAAAGGCGCTGGATCGAATGGGAGAATTGAGTTCATAAAATGGATTCATTGCAAACTGAGGAAAGAAGAAAAACTCATCAATACGCATAATACCCAGCACTGGAAAAAAATACTACTTCAAATGGCAACTAGTATTAGCTTTCAGCCTCTTTAGGATCACTTAAGTGCACAGAGCTCCTAAACAGTCACCTGCTTTCCAGGCCCTTGCATCCTCCCCATGTACCTCCTTAGTACCAGCTCCTCAGGCCAAATCCATCGTGAGACTGGTGGAAATTTCTGTTTTGGAAATCGGTATCATTTGATTCCTGGTAGGAGGCCCGGATGGCCAATCTCCCGGTCGGTGCCTGTGCTTGCCCCATCTAGTGGAGGTACCGCCAGGCCCTGAGAACACGGGCTACTTCTTCTGAGCCTTGTCCTTGGCTTTCATTGTCACCATTAATGACACAATAACACCCCAAAAATCATTGGACTCAAATGAAAATATATGCTGAAAGAGCGCAGTTAATAACAATTTAGAAAAATCTGTTCTGTCAATGGAAATACAGGCTTTATGTCACACGGTACCAACGCTGCCCGATGTGAACTGCACGGGTACTTCTCTGCTTACACAGGCCCCACAGGAAAACGTGCTCCTACAGGGATGCCTGAGCAGGTCCAGCAGAACACACCGAAAAGTACTGCAGCGAGACCATAAGAAGCGGGTTCTTACCTTTATATACAAGTCATATACGTCATTGAAGAAGTTCTTGATTCCATCTTCTTGCCGTACATCATGAAGCATTATAAATCTCATATGTAAAGCAATTAAGGAAAATTTAACTTTTGCAAAGGAGAGAGACATTTCACATATCCTGAGATGAGCACTTATACTTATTCTGCATATACTTAAAATGTCTAGCTGTACATGAAACAGCAGTGACTGTGAGAAGAAACATTAAAAGAAGCAACTGGAGCAGTAAAATTTAGAAAACATTCCCCTATTTGAAAATAAACCCAATCACCTCCCTATTCAAGGTTATTCTTTCTAAAGCTAGACAATTCTGAATGTGGATGATGCTCTCAGCACCTTTGCCACATGCCCCTGAAGTTAAAATGACATTCAATGTTACTTTCAATGTATAATGAATGTTTCATGACAAACACTTCTAGGACTACCTGTATAGAAGTTAAAGACTTGACACCACATTTTGAAGATGGGTGTGATTGACACCAAGCACGTTTATCCCTGCTTCTCCTCTCTAGCCCTATCAAAGGGATGGGAACAGAGAATCTCATAAGCTTGCTCAGACCATCTCATTATTACTCCCCTCTCATTCCTCCTTCTTCTGTCCATGTGAGCTCCACATTTTGTTAGGCTATTTCAGCTCCTCCAAAATGAAAAAAATCCATCTTTCCAATTGGTCCCAATTTCCAACACCTGTTGTGCCTCCCAACTTGCCTCATTCTGAAGTCAGTTTCTCTAACAATAAAAGTGGTGAATAACCAGATAAATTTGTTCCAAACTCATTTCATCTAACTTAACCCTTTCTGGCAAAAGGTTTTTCCTATATAAATACAAGGAAAGAGAAGAGGGAAGGATATGTCCAGCTGTGACAAAAGCAGAAACAAACCATTCATTAAACTTGTCCACAGTCTTCAGGTACATGTTGTTTGAAAGCCACATGTTCTCATCTACTAGGTCAAGAGCAGCATGGGCAATGAATTGGTTGAGATGGCGATGATCATCCTAATGTATTTCCAGAAGACAGAGGATTAATAATTCAGTGAAAGGAGTGAAATATAAACAATAATTTGCTCAAGCTGCTAAATTATGTGAAGTCACATGTACCCTTCTTTTCTGCCACCCACGTGCCTGTAATTAAATGAAAGTAGTATATATTGTCACGACACTTGGTGTCAAGGGAGAAAAAAGGTCATAATAAGAACATCATCACAAAAACAGTCTTGAGAGCAGCAAAATTAATAAAGCCTGTATTTATAGCTCAGGAATGAATTCAAGCATGAATTCTTTTGTTTACCAATGGGTAGTCTCCCACTGCAAACTTATTCCACAACAGAGGCCCTGATAAAAATCTTTTCCTCTGCTTCCAGTCACCTGTTTTTGTGAAATTTACAGAAATTTAGCAAATTTGGCAGAAACTGAACAACAGGTTACAATGTGTAAAAGTTAGGGGAGAGATGGGGAAAGCAGAGAGATACAGAGGACAGATATACTGACAGCGTTATCACCTAAATATTCTGTTCTTTCAGGCTATTTACCTAGAAACATATAAGTGTTTTATTTGGGGGGGGCTCTTCTTTTTCCTAAGAGCCTAATGCAGAAAAACATCCTGCAACAGATATTAAATATATGTTTACAGATGTAAATTTCACCTCTTCCTATAATAAACATGAATGGCCTTCACAGGAACACAGTGTTTGTCCTTAACACTACAGGAGTTGTGTGGAGACAGAGCCATATACTTTCTTACTAATTAGGACACTGGAGGGCATCTGCCAAGAAGAAACCTGGGATTAAACCACACTGTAAACTTCTATTAGATTGGAAACACAAGCAGTCTTGCACTGTTTCTCAAAAAATAGCGATGTTATTAATGCTGCTCTCACACCTCTCAGTGCACTATGTTTTTCCCCCAAATCAAGTTTAGCTCAGGGCATTAACAGCCTTGCAAGTTCCATTAAACCATACCGAGGATGAGACTAAGTGGTGAAGTGTAATTGTGCTCATTTACCACATATGGTATGCAAACCACTTCAGGCAGCTGTGCAC